TAGTTTTATTGTAAGGTGAATGTTACATTGATAGAACTGGAGCAAGAACACAGAAAATTCTAGTTTTACTGTAAGGTGAATGTTACAGTGGTAGAACAAGAACATGAACACAGAAATTTCTAGTTTTACTGTAAGGTGAATGTTACATTGTTAGAATAAGAACACAGAAAATTCTAGTTTTACTGTAAGGTGAATGTTCACAGGTAGAACAAGAACAAGAACACAAAAAATTCTATTTTTACTGTAAGGTGAATGTTACACTGATAGAACAAGAACAAGAATACAGAAAATTCTAGTTTTACTGTAAGGTGAATGTTACATTGATAGAACAGGAGCATGAACACAGAAAATTCTAGTTTTACTGCAAGGTGAATGTTACATTGGTTGAACAAGAACAAGAACACAAAAAATACTAGTTTTACTGTAAGGTGAATGTTACACTGATAGAACAAGAACACAGAAAATTCTAGTTTTACTGTAAGGTGAATGTTACATGGATAGAACAGGAGCAAGAACACAAAAAATTCTAGTTTTACTGTAAGGTGAATGTTACGTTGATGGAACAGGAGCAAGAACACATAAAATTCTAGTTTTACTGTCTGGTGAATGTTACATTGACAGAACAAGAACATGAACACAGAAAATTCTAGTTTTACTGTAAGGTGAATGTTACACTGATAGAACAGGAGCATGAACACAGAAAATTCTAGTTTTACTGCAAGGTGAATGTTACATTGGTTGAACAAGAACAAGAACACAAAAAATACTAGTTTTACTGTAAGGTGAATGTTACACTGATAGAACAAGAACACAGAAAATTCTAGTTTTACTGTAAGGTGAATGTTACATGGATAGAACAGGAGCAAGAACACAAAAAATTCTAGTTTTACTGTAAGGTGAATGTTACGTTGATGGAACAGGAGCAAGAACACATAAAATTCTAGTTTTACTGTCTGGTGAATGTTACATTGACAGAACAAGAACATGAACACAGAAAATTCTAGTTTTACTGTAAGGTGAATGTTACACTGATAGAACAAGAACAAGAACACAGAAAATTATAGTTTTACTGCAAGGTGAATGTTGCACTGATAGAACAGGAGCAATAACACAGCAAATTAAAGTCTTACTGTAAGTTGAATGTTACATTGACAGAACAAGAACATGAACACAGAAAATTCTAGTTTTACTGTAAGGCGAATGTTTCATTGATTGAACAAGAACAATAACACATAAAATTCTAGTTTTACTGAAAGCTGAATGTTACACTGATAGAACAAGAACACAGAAAATTCTAGTTTTACTTTATGGTGAATTTTACATTGATAGAACAAGAACAAGAAAACAGAAAATTCTAGTTTTACTGTAAGGTGAATGTTACATTGATAAAACAAGAACAAAAAGAAAACATAAATTTCTAGTTTTACTGTTAGGTAAATGTTACATTGATAGAACAAGAACAAGAACAGAGAAAATTCTAGTTTTACTGTAAGGTGAATGTTACATTGATACAGCAAGAACAAGAACACAGAAAATTCTAGTTTTACTTTAAGGTGAATGTTACATTGATAGAACGCAGAACATGAACACAGAAAATTCTAGTTTTACTTTAAGGTGAATGTTACATTGATAGAACAATAACATGAACACATACAATTCTAGTTTTACTGCAAGGTGAATGTTACATTCATAGAACAGGAGCAAGAACACAGAACATTCTTGTTTTACTGTTAGGTGAATGTTACATTGATAGAACAAAAACAAGACCACAGAAAATTCTAGTTTTACTGCAAGGTGAATGTTACATTGATAGAACAAGAACATGAACACAGAACATTCTAGTTTTACTGTAAGGTGAATGTTACACTGATAGAACAAGAACAAGAACACACTAATTCTAGTTTTACTGCAAGGTGAATGTTACGCTAATAAAACAAGAACATGAACACAGAACATTTTAGTTTTACTGTAAGGTGAATATTACACGGATAGAACAAGAACTTGAACACATAAAATGTTAGTTTTACTGTAAGGTGAATTTGTTAGACGGATATAATAAGAGAATGAATATTGAAAATTCTACTTTTACTGCACGGCGAATGTTAGCATGAATATAAAAAGTTCTAGTTTTACTGCACGCCGAATGTTAGCATGAATATAAAAAGTTCTAGTTTTACTGCACGGCGAATCTTAGCATGAATATAAAAAGTTCTAGTTTTACTGCACGGCGAATGTTAGCATGAATATAAAAAGTTCTAGTTTTATTGCACGGCGAATGTTAGCATGAATATAAAAAGTTCTAGTTTTACTGCACGGCGAATGTTAGCATGAATATAAAAAGTTCTAGTTTTACTGCACGGCGAATGTTAGCATGAATATAAAAAGTTCTAGTTTTACTGCACGGCGAATGTTAGCATGAATATAAAAAGTTCTAGTTTTACTGCACGGCGAATGTTAGCATGAATATAAAAAGTTCTAGTTTTACTGCACGGTGAATGTTAGCATGAATATAAAAAGTTCTAGTTTTACTGCACGGCGAATGTTAGCATGAATATAAAAAGTTCTAGTTTTACTGCACGGCGAATGTTAGCATGAATATAAAAAGTTCTAGTTTTACTGCACGGCGAATGTTAGCATGAATATAAAAAGTTCTAGTTTTACTGCACGGCGAATGTTAGCATGAATATAAAAAGTTCTAGTTTTACTGCACGGCGAATGTTAGCATGAATATAAAAAGTTCTAGTTTTACATCACGGCGAATGTTAGCATGAATATAAAAATTTCTAGTTTTACTGCACGGCGAATGTTAGCATGAATATAAAAAGTTCTAGTTTTATTGCACGGCGAATGTTAGCATGAATATAAAAAGTTCTAGTTTTACTGCACGGCGAATGTTAGCATGAATATAAAAAGTTCTAGTTTTACTGCACGGCGAATCTTAGCATGAATATAAAAAGTTCTAGTTTTACTGCACGGCGAATGTTAGCATGAATATAAAAAGTTCTAGTTTTACTGCACGGCGAATGTTAGCATGAATATAAAAAGTTCTAGTTTTACTGCACGGCGAATGTTAGCATGAATATAAAATGTTCTAGTTTTACTGCACGGCGAATGTTAGCATGAATATAAAAAGTTCTAGTTTTACTGCACGGCGAATGTTAGCATGAATATAAAAAGTTCTAGTTTTACTGCACGGCGAATGTTAGCATGAATATAAAAAGTTCTAGTTTTATTGCACGGCGAATGTTAGCATGAATATAAAAAGTTCTAGTTTTACTGCACGGCGAATGTTAGCATGAATATAAAAAGTTCTAGTTTTACTGCACGGCGAATCTTAGCATGAATATAAAAAGTTCTAGTTTTACTGCACGGCGAATGTTAGCATGAATATAAAAAGTTCTAGTTTTATTGCACGGCGAATGTTAGCATGAATATAAAAAGTTCTAGTTTTACTGCACGGCGAATGTTAGCATGAATATAAAAAGTTCTAGTTTTACTGCACGGCGAATGTTAGCATGAATATAAAAAGTTCTAGTTTTACTGCACGGCGAATCTTAGCATGAATATAAAAAGTTCTAGTTTTACTGCACGGCGAATGTTAGCATGAATATAAAAAGTTCTAGTTTTACTGCACGGCGAATGTTAGCATGAATATAAAAAGTTCTAGTTTTACTGCACGGCGAATGTTAGCATGAATATAAAAAGTTCTAGTTTTATTGCACGGCGAATGTTAGCATGAATATAAAAAGTTCTAGTTTTACTGCACGGCGAATGTTAGCATGAATATAAAAAGTTCTAGTTTTACTGCACGGCGAATCTTAGCATGAATATAAAAAGTTCTAGTTTTACTGCACGGCGAATGTTAGCATGAATATAAAAAGTTCTAGTTTTATTGCACGGCGAATGTTAGCATGAATATAAAAAGTTCTAGTTTTACTGCACGGCGAATGTTAGCATGAATATAAAAAGTTCTAGTTTTACTGCACGGCGAATGTTAGCATGAATATAAAAAGTTCTAGTTTTACTGCACGGCGAATGTTAGCATGAATATAAAAAGTTCTAGTTTTACTGCACGGCGAATCTTAGCATGAATATAAAAAGTTCTAGTTTTACTGCACGGCGAATGTTAGCATGAATATAAAAAGTTCTAGTTTTACTGCACGGCGAATGTTAGCATGAATATAAAAAGTTCTAGTTTTACTGCACGGCGAATCTTAGCATGAATATAAAAAGTTCTAGTTTTACTGCACGGCGAATGTTAGCATGAATATAAAAAGTTCTAGTTTTACTGCACGGCGAATGTTAGCATGAATATAAAAAGTTCTAGTTTTACTGCACGGCGAATGTTAGCATGAATATAAAAAGTTCTAGTTTTACTGCACGGCGAATGTTAGCATGAATATAAAAAGTTCTAGTTTTACTGCACGGCGAATGTTAGCATGAATATAAAAAGTTCTAGTTTTACTGCTAGATGAATAAGAGCATGAACATAGAAAATTTTAGTTGGATTACAAAGTACATCTTATGAAACACAGAGAAGACAATTAAAGAACCAGATGAAACGCTTAAATTTTGATGAATGGAAGGCAGAGAGTGGATTGAATCGGTAAGCATAAGAAAAGTATCCAGAGAGGGAGTTATATGTATGGGTTGGAGCGTGAGTTACAATGGGATAGTCAAATTAATGTAGTTTTGTGGAGCTGTCATCAGACGAAGATAAGGTGATATTCAGTAGGATGTGTGTGTGTGTGTGTGTGTGCGTGCGTGATTTAGAGTTTAAACGTAGCGTTAGCAATGTTTCCGACATATCACTACGATGTCTGCAGTGTGACAGTTTATAGTGATGTCTTGCACTGGGGCATCATGCCGCAGACATATGGCATGATGTCCCACGCAATCACATGATCTTGACACCAGGCCTACCAGTCCATACACTAACCTCTTACAGCTGAGTGCCAAGCGAGGCAGCTATTAGTACCATTTGTTAAAGGTTTTTGGTATGACTCTGCCGGGGTTCTAACCTGGGACCTCCCGCATCTGCGGCGGACGCTCTAACCAATAGGCCACCGGAGCGGTTATATTCTGTAGTACGTCTATATTATTCATATTGCTAGTGGGGAAGGTAATGTAGCAAACTAGGGGTTTATGCTACTTTTATTTACCTGCTCGTTGTATATTTGTGAGATTTTAGTGATTATTTGATGTGATTGTCTTGAATTAGCATTGGCAGTTATTTTTCAACCAGTAAATAGCTAGTTACTAGGTTCAGACGTCATTCATACTGAACGATATTCACGTGACTTTTAATGGCAGTATGAATTACTTTCGTCAAAATGCCGCCATCCTAATATTTAATATAAGAAATTCTTTGGATATTCTCAAGCACACGTGTTTAGTAATTTGAAATAGGAATAATTCTGCTAAGTAGGTATTCGGGCAATGTTAGAAATACGTGGCTTTAAATTCCTATCACTGGCTTAGCTTAGAAATGTATATCAATAAATCATAAAAATGTGAAACAAGAAAAAAAATAAGCAAGAAGTCTACTATATGTGATGTCGTTAGTCTTATTAGATGAACATTATTTGTGGCATTAACGCGTTTAATTGATTACATATGTTGTCTTAAGGCATTGAGCCAAACTCCTGCAGTGAGTTTCGAAATTCTTTTCTTTCCATCGGTCTTGAGCTGAACTTCTGCTGGCGATATAAGAAGAAAATTGTTGTTGTTGTTGTTGTTGTTGTTGTTGTTGTTGTTGTAAGGTTTAACGCCATTTTACAGCACACGATAGGCTATACATGGCGAAGGGCAGTATTAATGGTGGAGGAAGAACCCGGAAAAACCGTGAAAAGAAATACCGACCTACGAGAAGTTACTGGCAAGCTTTCTCACATACCCACATTGGCCACTAGGGGCCCCTACAAGAAAAGAAAACAACACACACATCAACACTTAAACACTTCAAGAAACAATTTGTTTTTGTGTTTGCAACATATATAATTTCTGTTGTTGTTTATTTGGTTCTGCTTGTGGATGGTGTTATTGGGGAGTGTTATTTGTCTGTATCTTTATCTTAAATTAGAATGTGATACTTGCCATTTAGACCCAAATTATAGCGGATAACAGGACAGCAAAAAGAGTTGTCAGAATCGTAAACCAGCTATGGTGTCCACCTGTAACACAAGAGAAGGATCATTCAACATTTCTAAAAATGAATAAAATGTTACACAACTCAAATCATCTACAGCGGTCAGGACTTAATCTAAGAATCCTTTAACTTGGATTTGTCACTTTATCCTGGAGATATTTTGGAGATTTCTATAATGGTATAAAAATGCAGTCTGAAAGTCTAAGAAGGCAAAGGATAAGAAATGATGTATGTGCACTAATGTACTATAAGTGACCGACCATTACATATTTGTGCAAAGAAGGAGTTGAAAATATTTTCCAGCACCCAAACTAATTGGAAAAATTAATTTTCTTTGATTTTAGATTTTAGAAGAAAAACAAGAATAGGCTGAATACGTTACTTTAGTGTAAGAAACAAATATCTCTAGGTAAACAAAGTAAGCTACAAAATAAAATTCCAGTAAACCCACCCTTGCAAATCAAACTGTAGGTCCCGAAATTCGTATATGTCTAACGCCGACATTCATCCTCAAAGCCTTACTTTAATAATCGAGCCATTAGCATCCTTAGAGCATATTTAGTTATCTAAAGCAACTTAAGTATTATTTTATATCGATGTCAAGTTTGTTATAACTTTATTAGAAATGTCCAGATACCAAAACTGTTCGTTACCCCCAAAGACTCCTTCCACTCCTCCTGTGATGTTGATCGCAATTGCATCCTGGTCTACTGTTGGAAGTGGTTTGGCTGTAGTCTGAAGAGGATTCACTGTGGTCATTTTGAAGTCTACTCGGGGGAAAAAAAAGGAATATTACTAAATTACAACAGTTTGTGTTTTCTCCCCCTTCTCCTCCTTTTCCTCCCTCTCCTTTCCCCAGAAAGTTTTTGATTTTGTTTTTTTTCCTCTTTACAGAGCAAGTTTCATTCCTCAAACAATTTTATTTACAATAAAATTATATCGTCTTCATGAAACTGAATCCGATCACATGACTTACGTCAGAATTTGTAGATTGAATTGAAGATATTGATGTTCGATCAGCTATTCTCTTTTCCATACTAAACTCTCAAATGTGCGTATCGGATATCTTATCGAACAGTTAATAACTCGTTTTATCATATTTCATTAGACCATTTATCGTACTTAACTCGATTTAGCTCGATCAGTCCACGTGTTCAACAATTTTATCTTGTTGCATATTGAACTGGAATTTTGTTATGTCTCCTACATCACTGCTAATAATCATCATCAGAAACTTATCATTGACTTTATGGCAAACTATTCAGTCTTAGGATATTTTATATTAAAACACCAAATGTCAGGAACACAAACCAGAAATGTGCCAAAACGTCCTGAAGGAAGTATAAAAATATGATGAAATGATGGGCCAAGTGTTAAGTAAAAATTTTGGGCAACCGCTCTGTAACACTGTGTCAGAAAATAGTAAAATCTGGGGAAACCACACAGTAACGCTGTCAGAAAATAGCAAAATCTGGGGCAACCACACAGTAACGCTGTGTCAGAAAACAGTACAATCTGGGGCAACCACTCAGTAAAATTGTCAGAAAATAGTCAAATCTCGGGGAACCGCTCTGTAACACTGTGTCAGAAAATAGTAAAATCTGGGGCAACCGCTCTGTAACACTGTCAGAAAAAAATAAAATATGGGGCAACCGCTCTGTAACACTGTGAGTAAAATAGTAAATCTCGGGCAACCGCTCTGTTACATTTTGTCAGAAAACAGTAAAATCTGTGGCAACCGCTCAGTAACACTGTGTCAGAAAAAAGTAAAATCTGGGGCAACCGATCTGTAACACTGTCAGAAAATAGTAAAATCTCGAGCAACCTCTCTGTTACACTGTATCAGAAAACAGAAAAATCTGGGGCAACCGCTCAGTAACACTGTGTTAGAAAACAGTCAAATTTGGGGTAAACGCTCTGTTGCACTGTCAGAAAGTAGTAAAATCTCTGGCAACCACTCTGTAACATTGTCATAAAATAGTACATATCAATCATGACAGAGACCTTATTAATCCAAAATCTAACACCAATACCAAAGCTACTGAGCAAATTCAGAACTGTGATAAAAAATAATGGGCAAAGTGCGAAATGCGGCTTGAAAATAAAGTGTTAGTGATGAAAGCAGTATGGGTTGCACGTCTTGTGACTGTAAATAGAATGTTTACCCATAATGCAAACGTATCTGTAGGCTGTATTGCAATATTCAATGTTGTATTCCCACTTTCCTGTCTGCTGGTCCTTGTAAATAAACACACAGCGGTCCGATTTCACAATGTTCTGCTGGACTGCATCTAAATGTGAAGTAATATGAAGTGAAATGAAGGTGATGGTGAAGTGAATTAAAGGAAAGTGAAGTAGAGTGTAATGAGGTGATGTGTGGTGCAGTGGGGTGTAGTGAGATATAGTTTCACAATCATCACATTTTCGTAATACTGCAGACACAATAAATATACAGATTTACTGCTCGTACTTTTGACTTTTAAATTAAGTATAGATTAAAGACAACGATCTCTGAGTATTTAGGAAAATGCTGACATTTCAAATTACTCAACTGTCAATTTTTAAGTTTTAATTGTTTATTTATAAGAAATGAAAATAGACTGTATTTTCATTATTCTTAATACAAGCATGTGAATATATGGTACATTAACGAAAAGTCGTCTCTTCAGTTCCACCTTCAATTATATTTAACATCCAAGAGTGGGTTGAGTTTCTGCTGATAAAACAACTGAAATTTTCTCTTTCTACATTAATACCAGATATACTTCATTGTGTAGTACATAAAAATCCCCAAACGATGATATTTTGCCGAGTGGCGTTTTGGTACCACAAGATAAAGTACATCCGTCACTAACGCAGAAAAACGAACATTGCTCCAGAACCGAAGCTTAGAATATTCAACTCACTCTTCGGCACAACACCCTACCCCCGAACAATTTTTGTAAACACCCCTCTCTCAAGTAAGCTGTGGCATTGGGATGACCTAATATGTAGCAGTAAATTATGGTTTTGGCAGTTTTGTAGATTATGTGTTGAGATCTAACCATAAATCAAGTCCGATTCAGCAATGTATCATAAGGGGTTTATCTCTATTGTCATGGAAGAAAGGGGAAATAACTTCCCGGAGATGCGATGTCTATAATGTAATGCAGTTTAAAATTATGTGTTCTAGATTCTGTTGTTGCATTTATAAGGAAATATTTTTTACATGTTAAAATATAGAATTTAAATTAATATGAAAATTATTTCGAAATTTTTTATTGCTCAAAAATTAAGTATATAATAAATGAAAGTTTCTATCTGAATCTACTTTCACGCCTACTAGAAAAATGTAATATCCACCATCATTTCATACGCTCTGCAGTACTAAATCGATTTTACGTCCTTTAGTTTATATAATATTTCTAACGGCTTGTTTTGATCTCTATTACTATGTACGTACGTATGTACATCCATCCATCCATTGCTTTGTATATTTAATATTTAACATTATAAATTATTCTCAATGTATATGAGTTTAACACCAGTATTATTATTATTATTATTATTATTATTATTATTATTATTATTATTATTATTATTATTATTATTATTATTTATATTATTATTATTATTATTATTATTATTATTATTATTATTATTATTATTATTATTATTATTATTATTATAACTAAATATGTTTATTAGGCTCTAGGTCTAGGCTTTGGAATTTAATTAGTGTATTTTACATCGTCCAGGTTAATTTAGTAAATATCAGGATCATTCTAAAAGGGTTTTTTTCATTAAGTAATATGTTGTTTTAGAAAATGCTAATTGCGACCCGAGATCAAGTAGAAAACTGTATAATTTTGTTACTGAGAGGATTTTTTAGGCGTGCTTCAAGATCTAACACCTTCAAAATGTATCATGTGTTGTGTCCG